CAGTGGGAAACCCCGCATGATTGTGGCTAGCCGGAGTTCTAAGTTCTTGGATGGTTGCCTTGGCTGAGCTAGCTCACACGTCTCCGCTCGAAAGACGGTGGCCCTTGCCTTCACACCCATCGTGCTCGTGTGCGCGTCGCTTCCTGGGAACGCCTTAGCTTTTACTCGAAACTCATTGTTAGACATTGGTTTGGTTGTGATGCGATGGGATTTTTCTCAGCCGGCTTGTCGCGATCTTTTCAAGGAAAGGGCAGCCTAGCACTGGAATTGTAAGGCAAGAATTATACCAGGGAGGCGAGCTCGTAACCCTATCATAAGGAAGATTACTAACCACACCTGATAAAAATGTAATATGATACCAAAATTGATCAGTTACCAAAACCTTTTTGGAATTATTTTATCAACTCTATATTCGAAATTGTTTATTTCATCGCATAAACGTTGCAACATGTTTAAGCTGTGTAAAAAACTCTATTTTCAAATCAAAGATTTTACTTCATCGAGACGAGACTAACGAAAAGAAAAAAGACCCTCCATAATTAGTTTGAAAGTCATTTGGAAGATTTAAAGTCTTTGCAGCTGTAATTCTGAGAATGAAAAGGTTACGAGTCACATAGAAGCTGTCAAGTGCCATCTCAAAGGTCAAGCTCTAAGATGGAAGTTTTCAACTTTCCATCTGTGTAATTTTGAGATACGATTTTAAATTGGAAAACAGCTTTAAGAGATAACCTTCTTGGTTTAATTAACAAGATTGGGAGATTCTAACGTTGATGTCACAGTAGATGATATAAAACATAATAAGGTCCAATGTGGCAGATTAGACTCCTTTGATATACTCATGTTCTTGACAATGTTAGGTTTCGTCATGTTCACTTCTCACGCTTTCCATAGGATAAAAAAGTGTTTTATCGAAATTAATCAAGATGTTCCAAACCATTCTGAACTCTTGCTTTTACTGTGAGTATTCCTTTGATCTATCTCAGAAGCTAATTGTCAAACTGCACTTTGCTATCAGTGTTTACGTGTTTGGCCGAACCCACATAAGCATTGCTGCTTGTAGGAAGTAGCTTCAACAATAAAGATTGTAATAAT